GTGTGTGTGTGTGTGTGTGTGTGTGTACATATATATCTACTCTACATACAAACACAAATACACCTACAAACACACACACAAACATACACACACATACACACACACACACACACACACACACACACACACACACACATATATATATATATATATATATATATATATATATATATATATATATATATATATATGTATGTATGCATGTATACATATATAAACACACGTATATATGTGTGTGTACACGCACATACAGATGGTAAAAACAAAACGAAGGGTCCGAGACTGAGAGTATTGGGTCGTCGCTAATGGCTTCGTCGAGCCTCTGTCTCCCGTCCTCACCACGCCCATTCGTAGCCTCACACGCCCTTCTCGGTTACACAAACATGCTGGAGACGACGAGTGGGCACGAAAATGATGGTGACGACTCTCAAGTAATAAAAGTAGACAATAACCATTAACACCTAATAACCATTAATCTAACGCTCTCAAGTCTCTAGAACATAACGTTTTAAACGCCATTTAGCATACTGAAAAATACAATCGTAAAAAGTTCTGTTGTTATGAGCAGACCTCACTCAGGAGAATGATTCATTCCTCTCTTTTGTTCACGTGACAGAACAACAAGCCTCATTTTATTTAGGTAATTCTTAAGTGAAAGATAGATTATTCCTCTTTAAATAATTTAGGAAGCTAATAGTCAGGACAATGACCATAAGTAATGCCTTTGCTTTTAGTTGAGAATTTTAACAGAAATACATCTTTGAATGTAGTGATTTTGTTCCCAAACCCAATGATTCCATTGACTTTTCACAGATAAAGAAAGACAAAAGTATGTAAAAATACTAATAACAAGCCCATCAATATGGAATACTCAGTACTTTTGAAAACAAACACATTGAGAAAAAATCCTTCTTTACTTGACATTCCGACAACAGCATATACTCAAGACTCCTAAAAGGATTCTGAAAGTAACGACGCCTTGAATCTGTCGGCAAGCATGAGAGCTCCATTTGAGGCTTTTATATGCAGACACTGGACATCGAGCGAGTCTACATCCCCCCCCCCTCTCTCTCTCCCTCTCTCTCTCTCCCTCTCCCTCTCCCTCTCCCTCTCCCTCTCCCTCTCCCTCTCCCTCTCCCTCTCCCTCTCCCTCTCTCTCTCTCTCTCTCTCTCCCTCTCCCTCTCTCTCTCTCTCTCTCTCTCATTCTCACTCCACTTCCTTCTGCCTTTCCTTATCCTTTCTTTTGCTTTTCTGCCTGTTTCTCGTTCCATTTCCCTTTCTCTTTCTCTGTCTGCCTATATGGTATGTGTGTGTGTGTTGTTTGTGTGTGTGTGTGTGTGTGTGTGTGTGTGTGTGTGTGTGTGTGTGTGTGTGTGTGTGTGTGTGTGTGTGTGTGTGTGTGTGTGTGTGTGTGTGTGTCTGACAGACTGACTAACTGTCATTTTTGTTTGACTGTTTGTCTATGCCTAAATAAACTAATTCCCTATTCTTCACTACTATTGTCTCTTCTTTTCCTTCGTTTTGTTCACAGTATTTCTTGTTAAGCTTTCCAAAGAAGTTTGCACAACACAGAGGCCCTGAGCGGCCGCAGGACAGTGTCTCCATAATGACAAGCAGAGAGTCGGGCGCCTCGGCCGAGCCGCTGCGTCTGGCTCCAGAAAGCTGCCCGCCCTCCGCCCTCCGTCCTCCGCCCGGCCGGGGCCCCGCGCGGCCCGGGGCCTACTCCCTCCAACGCCTCAGTCTCCCGTCGAATGCATGCCGTGGCTCTTTCTCTAACGTTCTTGCTTCACCATTTCTTTTACTTATAATTTTTCACAAAGATGGAAAAGGCGTGTGGAAAAGTAATATTCCACTAAAATGTTACAAAGAAGAAAAATGTGGGGTTAACGACACAGTCAGTGAAACAAAGAAATTCTCAAATTAATTCGAAACGGCGGTGCTCCTCCAAAACTCATCAGAGGCGTGTCCCACTGCCCTCGGCGCCGGACGCTGAAGAATCAGCGGTAGATGCACGTACTGCTCTGGAGTGAGTCTGGCACGTGCGAGATGAACAGCAAATTCAGTGGCAACAGAGGCCAGCCGCCGCAGTGAGGTGTACGTCACCACATGTGCAGCAGAGCAGCGGACAATAATGTTGCGCCAGTTTTGTTCTCTGCAGTGTGGTGTGGGCGCCTCACGTGGCGCACCCGCCCGTGCGCCCCTGCGGAAGACGGGAGGCAGTATCTTGAAGGAATGGCTGGCATTCTGCGCCACCAAGCACTTGTCACCGTGAGCACAATAGAGGGTCCAGCCAGACTTCCATTACAACTTAAAGGAATCCCAAAAATGACAGTTTTTCTGGTGTCCTTCGCTTCAACATGTGTAACACGAGATGTCATTCTCCTGGGAGTTCGAAAAACTAAACGATTTTTTCCTTTCCGTACTGAGTATGTCACTGGTAGTGTTCAGTCATTCTGTTACTTAAATAGCATCACGACTGGCCTAAAATCAATTCTGTATAAAATAAAGGCGAATTCGGTGTGATTTGTTATGAGATTTACTAAAGCGACTCAGGATCAATGCTCTTCTACATGTGTGACAGTTCTCATAATATTTGACACACAAAAATCACGAATCAACTGCAGTTTGAGCAAATAACTAATTTGTTGAGCAGCACTGCGAGAAGGACTTCCGCCTCTGACACTGAGCATCCCGCGACCCTGGAGCCGCGGCCTCGCTGCGTCCAAATCCGCTTACTAAAGCTGAGAAGAACGGAGACCAGTATGGACTCGTGAAACTAAACAATGCAAGACCCGCACAGACAATGGCCGCGCTCTGGGAACACCATTTAAAAGTCCACAGAAACACACAAACATCCACGTGTGGGAAATGAAGATAAAGAAGTGAAGGCGGTGCAACCAGGGCCGGCGGGCGGGGGGCCACTGGTGGGCATGTGGGCGTGAAGAGGAGAGTCGAAGTGGAGCGCAACAAATGCGACTGGATGTTGTGGCATGCGGACAGGGCCGAATCTAGCAGGTGTCTCCACATCAAGGTCATAATGTGCGGCATCATCCGGCCTAGGACAGCGCCGTCATTTGTTCAGAATATCTTGTGTGTGGAACAGTTTTTAATATGGGGAAGCTAGAGGTACATCCACACTCAAGTACACAAATACGAGATGTGACCTAGGCGTGTGTTTGTGAACCTATGCAATGTGTATTTATATGGCATATCAACTTAAAGGAAAGAACGGGCGTTAACTGAATTAGTGCGTTCGGTCAGTAAAGAAACTTCTTCGGGAATTCTAAAAGAAAGTGTAGCCTCATCTCAAAGTCGAGCCTCCCAGCACAGGCGATACATAGCGGCCTGATACGGATGTCCCCGATTAATGGACCTGTGCTGTGCATAGCCTGATTCCTCTCGCCACAGCGTCACTTGAAGATGCCTCATGTGGTGCTGGGGGGGGGGGGCGGCTCGTGGCAACGTGTCATGACCCTCACAAGGGATGCGGGTCCTTCCTCTTCCCTCCCCTCGCTCATGGCGTTCATTTCCAGTCGAGACAAGTGGCTGCCTGTTCTATTTTCTGTCCAACCGAACCGTAGCTTCCTTTTCATGAATCATTTGTCAAACGTCCTAATATCAGTGTCTACTGATATTCCCTACAGTCTTCTAATGAAAATATATCGGGATTTATATTTTTCTTCATACTAAAAATGTGTTATCCAAGTCGTTTTAAAGTGCATTTCTTTCTCACCATTCACTCTATCTGATGCGAAAAGATTTGCATATATGACATTGTGCTCTCATGGTGAACTATAGCAATGTCTCGAATTCTATGTTGACAGCCGACTCCGTAGCGTGTAAGGCCGCGCCAGTACCAAGTCCCGCGTGATGCTTCTCGCACACAGTCTGAGAGAGGACTGAGCGCGCCCTTTGCGGGGACCGTCACTACCTCCGCCACAATCTGCCGCCTACACACTCCCCCTCTCTCTCTCTTTCATACACATACGCATACACATGGCATCGATCCCACACACCACTACGTAATACTGTTCTGAACCGGCATCACTACTATGCACAGATGGCTTTTGCTACGTCTTCATGTTATTTAGGAAAAAATTATGCGATCCGAACAGTGATCCCTCAAACCCGTTCCAGTTGCAAACCGACTTCCAATATACATTAAAGGTCTAAGTGCGTTAATATTAGACTAGGGACCTCTTTCCAAAATTCGGTCGCATTAGAAGAAAACGACTATTGTCAGGGCGGACTTAAAAATTATCGAAAACATCCCCCCCCCACACACACATACGTATACAGACACACACGGACAGCACAGGCACACGCACGCGCACACGCATACGCACGCACGCACACATGCGATATGGTGAGAGAGAGAGAGGAGAGAGATGGCGAGAGAGAGAGAGAGAGAGAGAGAGAGAGAGAGAGAGAGAGAGAGAGAGAGAGAGAGAGAGAGAGAGAGAGAGAGAGAGAGAGAGAGAGAGAGAGAGAGATGGAGAGTGAAAGAGAGAGATGGAGAGTGAAAGAGAGAGATGGAGAGTGAGAGAGAGAGATGGAGAGTGAGAGAGAGAGAGAGAGAGAGAGAGAGAGAGAGAGAGAGAGAGAGAGAGAGAGAGAGAGAGAGAGAGAGAGAGAGAGAGAGAGAGAGAGAGAGAGAGAGAGAGAGAGAGAGAGAGAGAGAGAGAGAGAGAGAGAGAGAGGAGAGAGAGGAGAGAGAGGAGAGAGAGAGATAGGAGAGAGAGAGATAGGAGAGAGAGAGAGGAGAGAGAGGGGAGAGGAGAGAGAGGGGAGAGGAGAGAGAGGAGAGAGATGGCGAGAGAGAGAGAGAGAGAGAGAGAGAGAGAGAGAGAGAGAGAGAGAGAGAGAGAGAGAGAGAGAGAGAGAGAGAGAGAGAGAGAGGGGGGGGGGGGGTCTAGACAGTGCTTCCCTACTTTTTCATTCCGTGACCCCGACCAACAGGTCATAATCTCCATGGCCCCGTTTAGTGACTGTCATCTTTTCAGATTTGACTATTGCCGAAGAGTGTAATGGTGTCTAATTCGATGTCATAATTCACATATTGTTCCCTGGCCCCCAGAAAATACCCCGTGTCGCGGATGAGATGTGCTTCCGGCTGCAACATCCTCCACTAAACCCTAAATTGTTCAACACAAATCTGAAAACAGTTTCCCGAAGAAAAAGTCACGCATAATTATGAGGCAATGGTGATGAAACAGACGGTTTCAAAAGCGTACAGCAATCCAAGATATTTCATAATGTGCATTTAATACCGAGAGCTTGATAATTTTCCTAAGAACAAAGAAGAATCCTTAAAAATGAACCGTATGCATGTTGACAAATGTGAATTCTCATTGATTTAAAGAAGGTATGAATGAGAATGAATATCTTCAGAATACAATACATGAATTTCTGACGAGGATATAATCGAAACCAGTCAATTACATCTCTTGCATTGTGAAGATATTCATTCTCATTCATACCTTCTCTAAATCATTAAGAATTCACACCACATAGCTTACTATAAAGGAGAAAAAGACACTTCCCGTGACGGAACCATTCACTTCAGAAAACAGGCCACAATCCTCACACAAACACTGTATATTCAGAGGCACGAGGTCTCCTACCACTACCAATGCTTTTTTATCTCAAACATTTGGGCGCGATTTATGAATCCGTGCGAATTAATAAATCCACGCGAGAGGAAATAAATTACAGCGTATTTCCAATTACGCCTGAAGCTAGAGAAAACGCAAATGGTAGACAGACGCCCATTTCACTTCGGATATAATTTTCTACTTTAAATGATGCTTTCCTTATTACGTTTACATACGCGAGTAGTATGCACTCTTCAATACCTATAAAACGAAGGAACTTGAGCATTACTGCCTAGTTGTATCATGAATATCAGTGTAACTCACACCAGTGTCTGCATCGGGAAGGTGGCGACACAACACACGGAACGCAAAGCTGAAGTGAGCATGACCTGTCCATATTCACTGCACTCCAGCAAAACGAAAAAGTACATAAATGACAGTAGTGTAAATAACAATCAACTATGCCTTAAGCCAACGTTATTCACTGAAAAATGAGTTACGAAAATCGCAAAATTAAAATAGTATTATACAAACATCCATTTTCTGTGGACGTTTTCTATAGTTCAATACTCGGTTTCTATGAATAATTTCGTTTTCTATAACGCAGTTCCAAAGAAGGAAACCGAAGAAAACAGAACAAATTCGAATACAAGGGGATGACTATTTTTTAGAACAGTTCAAATTTCTTTTCTCATAGCAAATATATCATGACGATACATAATACTCTTAAATATAACACGAAACCACAACAACGTAAGTGTTTCGCCTAACGGAGGTTGTCATTCCTTCATATATGTCACCAATATCCTTAAATGTCGAGATAATGATGCTACGCCTAGAAAGCGTAAACCAAACTCTTTTGAGTCAATTCCTCCGAGCGGCGGCTCACGCGCGTCCTCGGCGGCCCTCGGCAACAGTGTTATCGACATGCCGCCAGGGTTTATGGTCAAGATAGGGGGCGCACGTATCAGGGCGGTGGGCGTGGCGAGTGCGGCCTTTGGTTCATGGTCATGGTCAGGGCGCCAGCCGTCTCAGGGGCTACAAATCTACCTTCCTGAAATCGAGGGTCTGGACTCTCGCTTTACGTCCTTGAAGTGAAAGAGTGAGGGACGTACCTTGGAGGAGTCGTGATTGAGGGCGGAACGAGGGACACCATCCAGGGTGGTCATGTCCCTCATCTGTGAGGCGCTGACGGGAGGAGGGACGCCATCGTCGTAGCGGGACTTCTGTGGCAGAGAAAGAAGACACGGTTTAATCAATCAAATAAGGAACAAGAGGAAACGGACAGCTTGCTACCCTGCTAAGGCAGTGTGTGAAGACATTTATCAATAGTAATTTCGGTTACTGAAAGAGGTTTCAGGTAACTCCAAAAGTGATTACTGAAGGAGAGAGAGAGAGAGAGAGAGAGAGAGAGAGAGAGAGAGAGAGAGAGAGAGAGAGAGAGAGAGAGAGAGAGAGAGAGAGAGAGAGAGAGAGCGGGGGGAATGGAGGAAGAGGGGGGAGAGGGAGGGAGGGAGGGAGGGAGGGAGGGAGGGAGGGAGGGAGGGAGGGAGGGAGGGAGGGAGGAGAGGGAGGGAGGGAGAGAGATAGAAAGAGAGTGAGAGAGAGAGAGAGTAAGAGAGAGAGAGGGGGGAGAAAGAGAGGAGAGAGAGAGATGCTCAAGTATGTAGGAGCAAGATTTTCGAAGGTATATAAATACCTTTCAACCAAAGCCAATTGTCACAAAATTAAGACTTTCGAAAGATTAATGAAATATTTTCAAAATATTTCCATACAATCTACTTAGTTTTATATAGTTTCTGCTTTATATAATGTGCATAAGTCTTAAACGAGGAATAAATGACTGGACCTAACAATTCCTTCATTCAAATGGATATCAAATACATGAACATATTTATAAACTTG